CCTTTCCCTTTGGTAACTGTTAGTCCATTCTTGGGTTCTGTGATTCTAAGCAGTGACTATTTGAGGAAACGTTTCTTCAGACAGACAAAGCAGCACTCAAGTGTGACAATTTTCCTGTTATATGATGACAGCACATGTCTAATTATGTTGCATGTGATGTAAGGGTTAAGTGCACAGATTCTGGGGTGAGCCCGAAATGATTACAGGTTTTGCCTGGGTCCCATACTAGCTGTTCAGCCTCGGGGGATTTACTTCTCCAAGCCTCAATTTCCTTTCCATTAAATGGGGATTAGTATCTACGTTTTAGGATGTTGTACAGATTAATGAGATAGTGAATGTGAATCATTTCACACGGTGCCGAGCATGTAGAGACGATCCTTAGTAGTGTATAATACTGCGTAGCGTCTATTATAATCATTAGAGCCCATGGTTACGATGCCTGTTCGGGCCGGCCGGCCACTTTGTCAAGGTGGTAGGTTTGAGCCCAGTGTTGGTTTGGCCTTTGTGGCCTCAGACTGCCTTCACCTGTCTGGTCACAGAGGAGCCAGGTATTGATGAACATGAAGGGAACAGGGCAAATCCATCACCTCTACAGGAAAATCAGCCCAGAGCCTGTGGGTCAGTAATGTCACCCCGATCTGTGGGCGGTGGTGTTTTCCCAGTCTGTGTGCAGAGGAGCCTGGTAACATAAACCAGGTGGGAAAGCCCATAGACGGCCCCTACTTGGAGTTACACAGACTGACGTGCCACATTGGAGGGTCCCAGCTCCATGTGCTGGGTCTGTAACTGGCTACTTTCTCATAATTTATTTCCATCAATCTCTAGTCCAAAACTTCATGTGTTTCTACTCCAGGGCAATCGATGAGATGACATGGAGTACATACCCTCTTACCCCGGAAATTTTTTTTCCTCCCAATGGTTATAAATACCTGATGCTATTGTACTTGGCATGCTGTATGCAAATGGAGGTAGGAGTCCTAACGCTCATTAGGAAAGGGACGGAGGCCTGGAGCATGGCGAGGGCAGCGTGGAGCTGAAGCTGATAACAGCGGCCTTGTCCAGAATAGTGCATGGGAGCTTTCTTATCTCCTTTTGGCAGGAGGTGCTGGAGGCTTCCTGTGCGAAATCAGGAGCGAACCCTGCTTTCCTCTTGTTGTTCAGCTTCCTCCCCCCTCAAGACGGTTCCCAGCACCGTGATTATCTTTGCATCTTCAAACATGGCACAATCTACTTCCTTAAGGGCTAGATGTATTCTTAAGGCTTAGGCCAATTCCCCTCCCCCTCAATCTCTTTTCAAGTGCTGTTATGTAGTCAGGCTCCTAAATGACGTTCTATTTTTATGGTTCCAATTACAAAGAGGGAAAAAGAACAGTCCCCCAGTTAGAAAATAGCCACAGAATCTGCCCTTCCCATGCGGAGGACCTTGCCGTGAGGCTAGCCTGTAGTTTCCAAACCAGGCCCAGGCCGTCGGTAACCACCCGGGGCCGGGGGCAGAGGTTGGCAGCCCACAGTGAACTCTGTGGGCAGACTGCATTTCCCTCGGGAAACGCCTAGACTTGCTCTACTAGAACATGTTTCTTTGCATTTCCTGAAGACCAAGCGTATGAAATTACGATCTTTGTCTAAGGCTTTCCCTTATCTTTTCAATGTCTTTGGGGAAAATAGACTGAAATTCAAGGCTTCGTCTCTTCCCAGTACAGTAGAATGTCACCTGTTCCATACAAGTCCACATGCACATGTCTGATATAGATGTACATCCATGTAGTAACCCCCATGTACATGCTCTCTATATATATACATTACAGATACTCATATGTACTGAGTATGTAGGAAAGTGTGAGGCTGCATAGTGGGGCAAGGTGTGCATGTGATGGTCTAGAAAAGGCAGAACACTGAAAGGAAAACCAGGGCAGCGTGACCACTGCATCACTGAAGTGTTCCCAGTAAAGAGCAAAGTGTCTGGTTTCTTCTGCTCATCAGTGAAAGTTAAAATGTTCACTTATTTTACCTGCAGATTATAAGAACGAGCTATTAGAAAGCACAGAAATTCCTTAAGGAATGCTCAGTCCCTATTATTTCCTTTTTATTTCAAATCTTATAACCTAACTGTAAAATCAGACATTTTAAAAACATTTGGAGAAATCTGATACATGAACCAGATACAAGCAAGACCCTAGAATTATTGTGAATTCTAGTAACTGTAATTAGGGCATTCTTATATTAGAACACGTGCATGTTTTTTTAGAGATACGTACAGAAATATTTAAGGCTTGAATGACACAATCTCTGGGTTTTGCTTTACAATACTTCAAAAAAGAAAACAAAAAGGAAAAGAAATAAAGGATAGATGAAACAAATGTGGCCAAGTCTTGGTAATTGTTAGTCTGGGCGATGGGTATATGGGGGTTTATTAAACTATGTCTCTACTTAACGGTACATTTAAAACTACTCAACGATTAAAACAAAAAAACTCTTACTAGAAACAATGTATCAGTGCCTCATGCCTGTTTGTATGTTTACAAATGTTTATGGAGTGCCAAGTACATGCTAGGCCCTTGCTTAACTCTGAGGACGGAGTGAATAAGCAGATGTGGCCCCTGTTTCCCTGTAGCTGCCCGCCCCGTGGGGCCTCAGAGCAGCAAATGGAAACTTAGCAAGTGACGAATGCTCTGCAGGGGTCACTCGGGCCAGTGTGCCCCAGGAGGGGACACCAGCCCGGAAGGCTCAGTAGGTTAACACTCAGGAATACTTTCTCAGCTCAAGGACAGAGGGGTCTGTTCACCACAATCCCTTCTGTCTGATCTGTTCTTGCTTATTTTATCCTCTCCCTTGTACCTTCTTAAGTGACTGCAGCCCTTGGCTACTAAGTCAGATCAACCACCCATTCTTTCTGGAAATTGAGCTTTCTAGTTCCTCCTGGTTTGAAATCTCCAGAATCTGCCCAAGACATGTACAAATTAGAGCCCAGCAAGCTCCTGCTCACCACAAATTCTAGTCCAGAAGGTGAGAATACCGAACAAGTCAATGAAATGTTCACAGTGTAAGCAATCACAATACAACCACTTCCTGGCACTTAAGGGAGTGCTCGCTCTGTAGGAGGGGAGGTGGGGGGGACTGCAGCAAGGAGGGAAATGGGGAAATAAGCAGCATCCACCCTGATGGTGGTCGGGAGGCAGAAGAGATGGCCAAGGGTTGTTGTGGGTATTAGGCAGGTTCTTCATCTCTCCTTTCCCTCGTAGGCTGGCAAAGCGATGCAAACCTCGGGAGCCCACAGATATTTTTTTGAGGCACCTAAAATACCTCTTTGTATATTTGCATTGCATCCCAAATAAATCCATATTTTAATCTCATAAGGCTGCTTTTAAGGAATCAGTATTCATTTCATAATAAAGGGGAGAAAGCATGCCCTGTGCAGAGTTTGTATCCTGGGCACCTGCATTCTGACCTGTGTGGGACAATGTGAGGTTCTGAGCAGGGCATGGAAATATAAATTACAGTACCAATTAAAGTGGGCTTGCTGTAGGCCCGTGGAGTGGTTCTGACCGTGAGAGCCACGTGAGGCTCACAGTGGTCAGGTAAACTGCTTAGACATCAGGTGGCAGGTGGTGAGGGGGCTCTAGTCATTGGTAACTGCCTGGGTGAAGGTGAAGGGGTCAGGGTGCATATGCACACACCCCATGAGACAGTAAGAATAATTCCTGACTTTTCTATGGTGTCTTTCATTTAAAAACCCCTCTGAGTAGATCAATTTAATGCTTGCATAATCCCATAAGATCGACAAGGCAGATATATTTTAATTCTGATATTTTCAGGTGAGAAAATCTGTCATGCAGCTAGAAGCCAGGTGTCCTGACTCCTGGCCCAGTGCTCTCTGAAGTATCCAAACCAAACTGCGATTTGACTAAAACCAAAGGTTCCCATTGGGGTAAATTCAGAAAAGCAGGTAGGGGCTGAACTGTGCTTGGCCTTGAGTGTCAGACAAGGAGGCCTGGGATTGTCTTCAGTACAGTGGAAGCTTTTGGAGCAAAAAAGGATTCCACTAGATAACAGAACATGGGGGGGGCGGTGTGGCAGCAGGTTGTGTGGCTGTCAGAAAGGGGAAAGCCTGCTCCAACAGGCTGGCTAAGATGTTTCGGCTCTGGCCAGGTGAGGGTGGACATCACAGGCTTTTTTCTTGTTTGGATTTTTTATTCATATGGGCCTAGGATACATAAAGTATAATAAATGGTCAGTAAATATTTACCAGTGATTTTGAGTAGTAAACCTACTCAGAAGGCTACCTATAATAACATGTGTTTGCAAGAACATGCTAACTTCAGATGTAGGTCAAAGTCGCTCTTTAAAATTGTACTCTTCTAGCTAGTTTAATAAGAGAGAGATTTCATGGCCTCCTAGAAACAAAAAAGATCTTAAAGGTAAACAACTTCAACACCCTTACTTTATAATGAAACACTTGAGGTTTGAGAAGTTACAGGGCTTGTCATGATAGACCAAAACTTGAAAAGAAAAAGACCGAACTGAATGACTGCCCAGGGATGTGTGTTTCCATATACACTTAATTATCCCTGGAAAAACTAGCTGTATAATGGAATACTGATTGAAAGCCAATTTGATAGATGTGAAATGCTGTAATTTCCTTGAGCTTTCCATTCATTAACATAACTCCATTTTTTTTCTCTGTGCATGTTTTCTCTACTAGGAACTAATTAAAATCTAGATGTTAAATTTCCCAATTTATGCATTTGTACTTAACATTTAACATTTAGAACAGAACAGGAAGATGTAGGGACATGCCTGAGGTATGGGTATTTTTCAGATCAAGCTAATATATTTGCTATTTTTAAGTTTTGAGGATGGTTATTGGGAAAAAAATTTAAGGAAAAGAAAATGTATGACTTGGGTACCTGAGGACTCACCCAGTGATTTTCCTTTCACCTGTCACTATGGGCTGGACCATGCCACAAAGCAACACAGTGATGACTTACTTTTTTTAAAAATAGGTATGACTTTTGCTCCAATAATGAAGAGTCCTTTATCCTGGATCCTGACAGCAACATAGGAAACAGAATTGAGAGCATCAGTCAGCGCACGGCAATAATAGAAGGAAAGAATAAGGTATTGTTTATAAAAATAAGCATCATATTATTTATTTTAAAAGCATGCACTCAGCTCCTAGTTTTGGGTTGATCAGAGCCAAAAGTAATTTAAATGTTCAAACAAAAATTCAGAGAAGAAAGACAATATCTGAGATCTGTCTTCATGAATTGATGCGTGAATGAACTGCTGTGTGCTCACAAAGTAATGAGTGCTTGGCGGCACTAACGGCAGAGTTGGCAGTATGCCTTGAACATCAAACTGGTCCCTCTCAGTGGTTCTCAACCCTGCTTGAATATTAGAATGTTCTACTAGTTACTGCACTTGAATCTCTGGAGTACAGCCCAGAATTCATAAAAGCCTCCTGGGAAATTCTAGCATAGAACCAGGACAGAGAATCACCGACATACATAAAGTGGGATGTCAGTAAGCAAAAGCTAGTCCAAGATTTAAGGCCAAAAGTGAATAAATCCATTTCACATGATATCTTGTTTTTCCCTCTCTTTATAAGGGCAAAGCCTGACTAAGTTTGGGTATATAAATACACACAGTATATCATGATTACCTTGACTTAAGAAATGCAAATGCCACTTCAATGAGTTATCACCTCACACCAGTCAGAATGGCTAGTATCAAGAAGACAAGAAATAATGGGGGTTGGTAAGGATAAGGAGAAAAGGGAGCCCTGGTATACTGTTGGTGGGAATGCAAATTGGTACAGTCACTGTGGAAACCAGTATGGAGGTTCCTCAAAAAATTAAAAACAGCATTACCATATGATCCTGAAATTCTACTCCTGGGTGTTTACCTGAAGATAATGAAAACACTAACTCAAAAAGACATGTGTACCCCCATGATCACTGCATTACTTATGATAGCCAGCATGCAGAAGCAACCTAAGTATCCATCAATGGATGAATGGATTTAAGAAATGTTTTATATATACAATGGAATATTATTCAGCCATAAAAAAAGAATGAGATCTTACTATTTGTGACAAAATGGATGGACCTTGAGGGCATTATGCTAAATGAAAGAAGAAAGGCAAATACCATATGATCTCTCTTATATGTGGAATCTGAAACAAGCAAGCCCATAGACACACAGAATAGATTGGTGGGTGCCAGAGGTAGGAGGTGGGGGATGGGCAGAATGGATAAAGGGAGTCAAAGGTACATGCTACCAGTTATAAAATAAATAAGTCATGGAGGAATGTGCAGCATGGTGACTATAGTTAGTGATACTATTTTGTATATTTAAAAGTTGCTTAGAGAGTAGACTTTGGAAGTTCTCATCACAAGAAAAAAAATAATTATATATGGTGAGGGATAGTAATCAGACTTATTGTGGTGATCATTTTGCAATATATACAAATACTGAATCGTGTACACATAAAACTAATACAATGTTACAGGTCAGTTACACTTCAATTGAAAAAAAGAGAGACACACAAACTTAAAAAAATCCGGACTTAATCCAGATTTATCGGGCATCTTTTCTGCCTCTCTTGTACCATCCATTCTCTACTCACCTAACCTTAGCCTCAGCACTAGCCAACACCTGTGCACCAGGCAAATCTTGGTGAACCTCAGAGCTGGTGTCTTTTTTTCTGCTTAATTAGTGAGAGATATACTTAAAAATATTTTATCAGGTACAGGGGTAGTGATGCTTTTAAAAAAGGAAAAAAACATCAAATAACCCTTTGTGGAAATGTCTATTTATCCTTGCATATCTTGATTTGGCAGTCATTAACATGGATGCTGTCTGCTTGAGTGTGCTTATGTATGTATTTGTTCAGCTGTATTATTTGCATTTGAAGGCAATAATGTAGATGGCACCATTCTCCATGGTAAGCTTTAACAATAAGAATAAATAATATCTGAAGTCTTCATTATGAAAAACTTTTTTTGTTGTAGAAAAGCAAGTTGTCACCAAATACTAGAAAATTCCAAGATGCCATTGATGGTGTCAGTTCATTTTGCCTTCTCATGAACATGTCAGGTAGATGTAGTGTTAACTGCTGGATATTAAGACAAGAATTTACGAGCTTAATTTCAGTGACAACTTTCAGAGTTCTATTTTGGTACCATATGGCCAAAAATATACAACATTTTTTTGATATATGCACATGTCAGCATCAGTTGTTGGCAGGCCAGAATGGTTATCTCCAATTTAAAGATAACAACAATTGGGTGACAAGATGACTAACACAAAACCTCACAGCCTAGAAGTGGCAAATGAGAAACTCAAACCAAAGTCTTCCTATCCCAAAACCTAGTGCTCTGTTAACCCAGCCAGTACAGAAATGAGTTAAAATGGTGATGGTTTGCATGAAAATATCAATAATCACTTGTCAAGGATTTAGGAAAAGTTTTTATAACTACTGCAGTAACTCTGAAAAAGAACTCCAATTCTTTTTCTCTAATAGAAATGAATAGTAGTTTAAAACGTTCCATGGTGTGTAGCTCTTGATGAAAGAGCACCTGAATAAAATACGTAGAAAAACCTGAAAGTTTGAGTGACACTACATTTCTTTAAAAAGGAAATTGCCTAGGCTTGAGATGGATTAATGATTGTGCATTGAGCATTGACCCCCCTATACAGAATTTTATTGTTGTTAACAACCATTTGATCAATAAATATGAGAGATGCCCTCTCAAAAAAAAAACAAACACACACACACCAAAAAGAAAAAACACAAAAAAAAGGAAATTGCCTTTGAGTAGAAAGCCAGTTGTCACCAAATACTAGAAAATTCCACGATGCCATTGATGGTGTCAGTTCATTTTGCCTTTTCATGAACATGTCAGGTAGATGTAGTGTTAACTGCTGGATATTAAGACAAGAATTTATGAGCTTAATTTCAGTGACAACTTGGAGTCCTATTTTGGTACCATATGCCCAAAAATATACATCAGAAAAGAAAATGGGAAATGAAAAAGCTAGGTGAGGTTCCTTATTAGCCTGAACCATGATGTAGCAACCTGACTCCGTGTAGTTAGAATTCCAGTAAAGACTGTGGGCATGGAGCAAGCAAGCCTGAGTGACATAAAGGAACTGCTTTGATTTGTTTCCATGTGGGCCTGAAATAAAAGTACTCCCTTGTAATTTTGTAGTTGTGCAGAGGTTTTAAATAGAGACTTCCAGACAGTTGGCATTTGTGCCATCCTGCCATGACCCAGGAGTCAAGCTTGACTTGTGGGGTCATCGCTGCCACTTTTTATCTTGGATAATCATGTGCAAATCAGTTCACCTCTCTGAACCTGAGTTCTCGCCACCAAAAAATGGAGCTAACGATATTTGCCCTACCTAGTGTGCTCATTGTTACGGAGATGACTGCCACGTGATGCATTTCCAAAACTGATTGTGACCATATGCAATGAAGACTATTTGCTAAACAGTTTTTGCATTGAAAAAATGAGTAATCTTTCTAAACAAAAGCCGACACACATATATGGATATGCACATGTATGTCATATCCTGTTAACAGCATGACTGTAGCGCATTAGGTTTTAAGCAAATTATTAATTTCATGTCCTAAATTTAGAAGAATTTACTACTTTTACTGTAATGTATCTTTTTGTGTGAAAAAATTTACCTTTCATATGATGACAAATGGCAGCTTTGCTATTTCAGAATTATTTGCTATGGTCTCTCCTTTGCAATTAAAACCACTTCTATTTTCTGCACATTTCAGAAAGTGAAGTCCCAGTGTTGACTATAAAAGTCCTTTTACCAGGAGTCCTAGAGCTACATGCCCATAATACCACTCCACAGATCAGTGGATTGCAGGTCCCACTGGAGCACCTGTTAGATTTCAGGGCCTTGCTTTTTGCTTTCTTCTTTGTTTTCTTTTTGTTTGTTTGTTTAACTGAAGGAAGGGTGCAGAGGACAATAAAATTCAGTTTCCTTGTTGGCAAGTTTTAGCCTAGATTTGTGAAAAGTGAGTCATCAATTAGGGTTGCCAATAGCAAATGCGGAGTTTTAGTATTGTTTAAGTGGGGCTGCCAGACTATCGGGTTTGCAAATATAGAGTAGGAAGTAGAAGAACCCTGTTTTTAAAAACACACACACACAGGAAATACACTATTACAGTATTAATTCCGTGAGGATAGAGAATCGTGCAACTTTAATATTTTAGCAACATTTCCATTGAAAGCATTTTGAAGTTACATTGAGACATATGCGTACAAGTCCATGACGGAAGTATTACTATCCAATCACAGAGTTACAGCTTTTTGTTTCATTTCCTACACATGCCCCAGTTTTTTTCTAATTCGCACCTCTTATTTTCCCACCATTTGGCTCAATTGTGCCACTACAAGTTAATTTTAGATTCTTCCATGACCTTCACCTATCTTTTATTTCTCCCTGAAACACTTAAAAGGAAACTATATAAAAAAAAATCCCAAGATTAAAGTCACAGTTCCAGATTTAGATTTTTTTAAAACAAGTGCTGGAAATTAGTCCGAATTATACATCATCCCGTCTATTCTATTCCGTGAGGTTCAAACCACATCGGTGAATTACTAACACTTAGCAAAAGGGAAGGAAGGGAGAACTATGAGTAACTTCCAGAATAACTGCACCTGACAACGGTTTTCGTCAGCATTCCCGGGTCATAAAGAAGAACTCAGGGAATGCACTTTCCAAGGGTCTGTTTCTAATATCTAAATCCTTGAAGGGCTGTCAGGGCAGGTAGAGACATCCCAAAGAGTGGGTTCAAAGGTGAAAATAAAATAGTGGCAGATGAAAACTAGCTGTAGAACCCATGCAAGCAGACATCCTTGAGAATTTCTTACTGTGTACCTTATAAAATAAATGATTGTAACTTCAAACACATGTCACAATTCAAATTCTTGGCACTTGCTCTTTTAAAGCACTAAGATGATATGTGGTGTTCCCACCATTATGCATACTATTTCATTTTTCCCCCCTTGAAAGGGTAGTATTGGGTTACAAGTACTGGGGAACAGATTTGTCCCTTTAACTTGAAAGCTTCCTGGTTGAGACTTACTGTC